GTCGGACATCGACGTGCTGCATGCAATTATGAAGCCGAGAAAGGACGGCAGTCCGCGCCGCGCTGGTCAAGCTATCTAGAAGGCCGGGAAAACGGAGAACGGAAGCGTGAAATGGAAGCGCAAAATAGAAAAAGGAAATAGAATTTGGAAATTGGTAGTACAAAATGGAAAATGGGAGGTCAGTTTGGAAAATGGAAAGACGAAATGGAAATTGGAAGGATGGCACTTGTCGGCCACCATAAGAAAGAGATAAAATTCCAGCATCATGACTGTAGTTTATAGCAACCCTGAAACAATGGTTTCCAGCCAGAAGCAGTTTGCTTCTTTCAAGACAAAGTAGGAACTATGATAATGTGCTGACACATGATCAAGGGTTCTGAAAACAAAACCTAATTGTCTGCAAACATGTGTAGTCATTGATAATAATTATGTACTATGAACCCTTGCAAACCTGAGCATAATAGGGCTAAGCATACTCCACAGAATACAATATTGCCAGCTGAACAGCTACACGGCGTAAAACGAGACGGCCTAAAGTTCATGTGCAAGTTTCGGTCTTCTTCGCTCTCTGAGCGCGTAAGCGCTGGCACGGATATACACGCATAATGTAGCTAGCTAAGTGTTTCCCATCGCTATAGAGTTAAAAAATAACCATGCGGCTTCGTGTAGCTAGCTAAGTGCACTGAAACCGCTGGGCTCAGAGAGTATATACCCCGTTTATATACCCCCCTCCCTCCTGTCGGTTAGACTTTGCAGCAACATAGCTAGTAGGACAACACGAGGATTGCTTACCTTCAGTTTGACTTGCGTAGGTCAATACTGAACACCATAACAGGGCACAAACGCTCAGTACAACAGCAAGCATCCTTGTGGTATTAACAGGAAGGCAAGCGAAACAACGGAGTGTTATCAGAGCCTGACCCAACCGCGCCTTAGCATCGTTTGACAGGAAGCCAAGCCGGATGTGATGTGTTATTGCTGAACGTCTCAGCGCGAGGCGGGCGAGGCCGCGTTCGTACTATACGTCGCGCTCTTCTATGTACGCATGCACGTTCGCTCCAAAGCTCTGGCCCTTTCATCCGCTCTTCGTAATGCAGGTGTGACTGGTTAAATGTCGTCCCATCCTCAGCCCTTGGCCTCCACCTTTTCGATCGGGAATTCCGGTTCTGCCTGCAGTACTGGTTGGGTCTCCAGATGTTCGAGGAGGGTCTAAGGTGTCCCATTTGTCATGCCGTAGCCGACCACTTTGGGGACCATCAAGTTGGTCGTGGAGGAAACTGTGATAGAATCCTCCGACATAATTCCCTTCGGGGTGCTGTTTTTTCAGCAGCTCAGTCAGCTGCCTTGGTGCCCCAAAGGGAAGTGCGTAAAACCGTAAAGTGCGTAAAACCGCAAGAGAGCCTCTGAAACACCTGAGCAAAGTATGAAGAGGCAAGAGACGGATAAAGTGCGTAAGACCCACAAAAAAGCTTCTGAAACACCTGAGCAAACTTTGAATAGGCAAGAGATGGATAAAGTGCGTAAAACCAGCAAGAGAGCCTCTGAAACATCTGAGCAAACTTTGAATGGGCAAGAGACGGATAAAGTGCGTAAAACCAGCAGGAGAGCTTCTGAAACACCTGAGCAAATATTGAACAGGCAAGAGACGGATAAAACCCGCAAGAGAGCCTCTGAAACATCAATAGAGCATGCCATTTCTGCATTCCGTTCTGAAACTAAAGGAGGGCCTGACTTTGTGTGTACATGCTGTCACCGCATGATGTACAGAAAAAGTGTTATTCAGTGTAACAAATAATTGTACCAAAACCAGTCCTGTTGTGCTTCAAGAGGTGTTCAGTGTGTTCAGTGTGTTGGAAACAGTGGATATGTTAAAACTTGTGATCGAGCATTAGTGAGAAATTCCATGCCACTACAATCAAAAAGCAAATGGGTTACAGTTAGCTGAGATGCCCCCTGAACTGTCCGGCCTAAATGCATTGGAATTGAGATTGATTTCCTTACGTGTGCCTTTCATGAAAATGGTATATAGCATTGCCATCTGCTAAACAAAGGTCAATCCATGGTCCAGCAGTGAATGTACCATCAAAAGTTGATACACCATTTGTGATATGTTGCCACGTTTGCCTTCTCAGTCTGAGCTAGTTCCATTGAAACTGAAACGTAAGGTTGCATACCGAGGCCACTACCTGTATGATTACATAAGACCTCAGAAACTCCTCGATGCATTGAGATGCCTTAAAGCCAACAACCCCCTGTATGCTGACATTGATGTTAACGAACAATGTGTGGAAGGTTTATCATTTGATGAGAAGTCCAATTGGCTGAAGCGTAACCCTGTTACTGCAGCGAGGCATTTTCATTACAGGCTAAATATCTTCCAAGACTTTCTGAAATCGACTGCCAGACCCCTAGGTGAAATAGTCGACTATGCCACCAGAATAGAGTTTCAGGCCAGAGGTTCTCCACATGCATGCTCACTGTGTCATATGGGTCAAAGATGCTCCAGAGTTTGGTGTAGATAACAATGATGATGTGTGTGACTTTATTGACCAGTATGTCTCGTGTAAAGTCCCAGCAGAAGATGGCAAATTGAAAGACTTAGTACTTCTCCTCCAAAAGCACAAACATTCCTCTTATTGCAAGAGAAACAAAACCTGTCACTTCAGTTTCCCTAAACCTCCCAGTGCCAAAACCCTCATTACAAAAGTCGATCCTGATTGTGTTGCTGACCAAGATTTGGCTGTGTTGGGTAAAGTTCAGAAACTAATATCTGATGGTAATACAGAGTTAAGCCTTGCTGAGTTGCTTGAAAAAGCAGCAATTACTGAGCAGGAGTACCTAGGTGCGTTAGAAGTGTCCACTAATGGAAATGTTGTGGTACTCAAGCGTGAGCCCAGTGAATGTTTAATTAACAACTACAATCCCTCAGTAATGCTAGCATGGCAAGCTAACATGGACGTTCAGTTTGTGCTGAATGCGTATGCCTGTGTAACGCCAGTTGCCAGGCTCGGGCGAGGACTAAGACTGATTGTAATTCACACATGCGTACAATAAGTATGATGATGCAATAATGACACATAGGTAAATGACAGTTCAATGTCCTGAGCTCTGTTACATCACTCCCTCCTTTTCAGCCAGTTCGTCCCAAACTGTCCCTGTCTCTTGTAATGACTTCCATCAGACGCAGCGGCTGACGTTGATGGATGCGGTCCCTCAGTGCATAACGTTTGTTGTTGGGTTGCAGCTCTTCCACACTCTCAGGAACCTGTTCTGGATTGGGTTCATCTTCTCCAGTTAGTGGAGGGTCAGTCTGCGGTGGCCCTCCTTCAGAGTCATCCATTGGTGTTGACAGTTCCACGCTAGGTTCAGCTGACATGGGAGAATGATCAGGGTCCTCATCTGTCAGTCCATCCAGAGGGGCCCTCTCTAGCGAAATGGTTCTCCCCGAGTGTGGGTTAGGAGTTGCTGTATCCACTGCTGTTACATTGAGCATATGCTGTAACCAACTAGGTGTGCGTCCTTGGCTTCGTCTTTTGGCTCCATACCAATAAAAACCTGCTGGCAGCATCTCGGGACTTGGACACACTCGGAGCTGATGGATTGTGAGGGGAGGATCTTCGGGGAAGTAGACCTTCGCAACGGTCAAGTTAGGGTCTTGCTTAGCAGTTACTCGGAACGGACCGTACCAGGGTCTCGAAAGTTTACGTTTTCTTCCTGTTTCCTCCTCAGGAAACCGCACGAATACCCAGTCCCCTAGACGAAAGTGGATGGCCTTGACTCTCTTATCATACTGAGCTTTGTAACTCTTTTGCGATTCCTGAATGCTCGTAGCAGCTAGCTCCCGGGCCGATGACAGTGACATCATGAGCTCCTCCCGGTAGCTTCCCAGATCAGTAGGGTCGAGTGAGTCTGAAGGGAGCAGTTGGTGACTTGAGGTCGATCCCAAACAACAGGAACGAGGGCTTCTCCTTGGTCGACTCATTGGGGGTGTTCCTATATGCCCACAGGACTCCCGGCAGGAATCTGTCCCACTGACTGTGAAACTTTGCGACATGCTTCCTAAGCATTGTCTTGAAGGTACGATTCAGACATTCGACCATACCGTCGCACTGGGGGTGGTACGCAGTGGTGTTGAGTTTCTTCACTCCGAGGAGCTCACAGACATCTTTCATAACATGCGCCAGAAGATTGGCTCCACGGTCAGACAGCAAGGCGTCCGGGACACCAAACAGTGGTACGATTTCCTCAGCAACGAGACGAGCGATCCTAATAGCCTTCTGGTCTGGAGCCGGGAAGACTAGCGCCCACTTTGTCAGAAAGTCTTGGAAGACGATCACGTACTGGTTTCCCTGCTCCGTCACTGGTAGCTCCACGATGTCTACCCTGATGATTTGGAATGGCTTTTTCACTGGGATAGGATGAAGTGGAGGTCGGCAGCACCTTCCAACACCAGTCACTGTCGCACACTCGCCACAGCTCCTAAACATTACAATACATTGTACGCCACCACCACTGGCGACTGAGTGTGGCGTACATGCGAGGCCCTGAGAAGTGACCTGCCATCCTTCCCGCGTGGCAGTCTTCGAGAAGTGACTTCTGCAGATGTCGTGGTACTGCAGCTCGACGACGTTCTCTCTTCCCGTCCATGAAATAAAGGACACTGTCCACGATGGTGAAGTTGACGGCCTGGGCAGCCACAGCTCTGGAAACCGTCTCACCTTCGGGTAGAATTCCAAATTGCAGGAACTGTCGCAGCTTGAAGCTCTGGGTCCTTCTCTTGTTCTATATCGAGGTCGCAGTGAGAATCTGCTCCTGGAGTGTCGTGAAGTAGAGTAGATATGTCCAACTCCTTGCTGGTTACTGCTGCAACTTGGACGTCGAGATCGTGGTGTCGGGAAGTCTCCGTAGGGTTACGAGAGAGTGCATCAGCCCTCGTATTTTCCCTTCCGGCCCTGTAGATAATATCTAGCTTTCGCACCCCACTCCCATACACTTGCAGCCACCATCGAGCGTGTTTCCCACTTGGACTTGGGTTGGCCAACAGAGCTTTTACGGCGGAGTGATCAGTAATCACTTGGACGTCGTACCCATACAAGTAAGTACGGTAGTGCTTCACAGCCCACACTACTGCCAGGGTCTCCAGTTCGGTCACTGCGTAATTCTTCTCAGACGGCGACAGTGCTCGGCTGCTGAAGGATACTGGATGGAATAGCTTGTCCTCCAACCGCTGGGACCAAGGCCTTGGTAGCTGGCATCCGTCTCCAAAACGAACCCAAGGTCAAAGTTGGGGTAGACGAGCACGGGTGCCTCCACGAGTTTCTTTTCCAACTTGTCGAGTGCCTCCTGGCAGTGGCTGGTCCAGACAAACTCCTTGTCCTTAGTCAGCTGGTGCAAAGGATCGGCAATCTTCGCAAATCCCTGGATAAAACGTCTGTAATACGACGCCAGGCCAACAAACTGCCGTACTTGGGTGACCGAAGTCGGTGTTGGGAAGTCTGTCACTGCACTGACCTTCTTCCGGTTGGGCAGAAGTCCACGAGGTGTCATTAGGTGACCCAAATACTCCACTTCCTGGCGGACAAAATGGCACTTGCTGAGTTTCAGCTTTAGGCCTGCAGACTGTAGACGGTCTAACACAAGGCTGATGTGGTGAAGATGCTCTTCCATTGACTTGGAGAATATCAATATATCGTCAATGTAGACAGAGACGAAGTTGGGACCCTCGACTGAGTTAAGTCCACTGAGCACGGTCTGCATAAGGCGCTGAAAGACGGCTGGAGCGTTCGTTAATCCGAATGGCATCACTCTGAATTCAAACAGGCCATTTGAAGTTATGAATGCTGTCTTCTCAATGGAGTCGTCCGCCACTCGAATTTGCCAATAGCCGGCTGCAAGGTCTAAAGTAGTAAAATACTTGGCGCTTCCCAGCTGGTCCAGCAGGTCGTCTATTCTCGGCAACGGGAAAGTGTCAAGTTTTGTCACGGAGTTAAGCTGATGGTAGTCGACACAGATACGTAGACCGCCATCTTTCTTGCGGACCAATACAATTGCACTAGCCCATGGGCTGCTGGAGGGCTGAATCACTCCCTCCTTCTGCATCTTCGCCAACTGCTTAGCAACTTCCTGTCTCAGTGCAAATGGAACCCTTCTGACAGGCTGTCTCTTCGGAGTTGCGTCTCCGTCTCTATGCTCATTTCTGTCAGGGCCGTCTCTCCCCCTCTCTCCCTCTAGCAGACTGAAAGTATTGTGGTATTTCTCCAGTAGATTAACCAGTTGCCTTCTCTCATGCTCTGGAATGGTGGAGAGATGGTGTTGGAGTAGGCTAGTCAGCAGTTCCTTTCGGTGTTTGTCGTGGACTGGCTCCAGAGCCAACAGAATACACATGTGGTTGCTCCCCATTTGGGTCAGCTGGCTCCACTATCTCAACAGGCACCGCTCCACCGATCTCCGTTCCCTCTGGAATCTTATGGGTGAGCGAGTGAGAGTTGGAGATGAGTACCTGAACCACACCATCGGCTGACGGGCTTGACGAGTGCACTAGCGATGCGTGCCCCAGCCTCCACTTCCTGCTGGTCGTCGGTCTCAAGCAGCATGAACTCCGGCTCTGACCACTGTCCCTGCCCACCTGAACCTTTCCCAACCAACTAACCCCCGCCATTATACTCTCCCGAGGTTTCAGCTTCACCGTCTCAACAAGTTGTACCCTGACTGCAGGCACCAACACATCACTCGTGATCTTCTCCTTACTGTGATTGCCGCCAGGCGTTACTTGTGGGTGGTAGCTGACGATACCCAGTTGGCGACACACTCCTTCAGACAGTAGGAGTGATTCCTTGGCATCCATCTTCAGATAGATTGGCGTCTTCATGGTCTTCCCTTGAAAGGTAACATCTAGGTCCAGGCGTCCATCGAGCCTGAAGATCTTGTGGTCATATGTACGTGGTGTTTTGTCAGCTGGTTTCAATTCTCGCTTCCTCAACTTAGCGACAACTGCGATACGTTTGAACACCTCCGCCCCGACAATAGTGATGTCGGCTGCCGTATCCACGATTCCTTCCACAGGAACTCCTGCAACCACTACTCGAACCGACTGTGGTCGACTCCCCTTGTCTTGGAGCCTAACCTCGTTAACACCTGCATCAGCTGGAACCACGGGCTCCTCACCATCAGAGTCAGAGAGAAGATACTGTTGTGGGTCGTCGGATGCTTTGGGAGTTGTCTGAGTAGGTGACGGTTGCTTCTGGTCTCCAGCGCTGGGCTCAGAACTCTGTACTTGCTGAGTCTTCCCTCCTTTGGTGGGTCGTTCCGATTTCCCTCGCTTAGGCTCTTTACAGTCCACAGCTATGTGACCTGTCTGCTGACATTTCCAACAACGAATGAGAGAGTTCTTGCGTCCATTACCACCATCGCTCTGCTCGTTAGTAGGCTGACGATTCTTCGAGCCCTCTGACTTCGTCGAATGCGTGTATTTCTGTTTTTGTTCAGACAGATACTGTCTCCGCTTCTTGAGTTCGGCGAGACGCTTCTCTTCAGCCTTGGCTGCCAGACACAGGTTCTGGTAATCGGCTGCACCGGAGACTGCGGGAGACTCCATAATCCTGTGCTTCAGTCCCTCCTGCAATTGTCCATACAGAAGAGTGTTCCTGGTCTCAACAGACATTGCCTCACGACCATAGGCAAGCTTGAACAGCTGCTCCAGCCGCCGGATGAAATCACTCACTTTCTCTTGATCTTCCTGAGCTGCATGCCGGAAATCTTGAGCTGCCATTATTCTGCTTCCAGGGTCCAGACGACTGCGAAGTGCTGCTGTGGCTCGTGAGTAGACCAACTTCTCCACATCAGCGAGGAGGTTCCATTCCTGGAAAGCTCGGCCCTTCAGATGGCCTGCTAGCTGGATTAACATGTCTTCTTCTGTCCACCCATTCCAATCCGCTGCTCTTTTCAAGGTGGGCAACCAATCGTCAAGACGACATTCAGGGATCCTCCCCAGTGAAGGGGTCGACAGGTGGTGCCTTCCCTCGACGTACTCGAGATGCAACAGGCGCACCTCCACTCTCTACGGAAGCAGCCTCTGAGGAGTCAGACGGGCTGGACCTGCGGAGACGAGTCACTTCGTCTCGGAGCTTGCCAATCTCCTCGTCCTTCTCTGCCAACGAGTTGTCAAGTTCTGCCAATTGCTCGCAGTTGAGCCTCCACAGGTCCCTAGTCTTGCCCTTCTGTTCCTCCAGCTCAGCCTTGAGCTGTGCAATCTCTTCTCGCAACGCAGTGACTGTCTCAGACTCTGACTCGCCTTCATCCTCTGATGAACTCTCTGAGGCTGTCGGGTGATGTTCCGGGGGATCAAACTCCTGAAACACCCCAGACTCGTCCTGCAGGCTGATACAGAAGCCACCCGCAACCTCTTGCAACACAACCTGAGTACGCAGAGGGTCACGACCGTCCTCTGTGAGTTTTGCCTCGATCATGGGACGCAGGTCTCCTTGCGGTGCTGCGGTAGGGACCCCCAATCCACCGGCCAACTGCCTCAACAACGGTACTGTGAGACGCCTCGAATTGAGGGGTAGTGTCTGCTGCGCGGCCTTCCACCCCGCTGTGGTACGGCCAGAGTCCTCCGCCCCCGCGCCAGTCAGTGGGGGCGGCGCTGCGTCGGCGGCCACGTGGTCCTCCGCCATCTTGTTCGAGTCTTTTATCATAGCTAGGACTGTACACTCGGCTGCGATCTACCCCGGGGGTATTAACTCGCAGGCCCTCTAGCCACCTCAGACTCTGTGACTGGGCCGTCTCCCTCCGGCACAGCCTCGTCTACGACTGACACAATAGCGGCGACTAGCTACACCTAGCTAGAGACTGCACTGAGCCCTGGTCCTCGCCCTTCCCGCGATCTTCGCAGGCAGAACAGACTCGCTAGCTTGTCCACAAGCTTGTTCGACGAACCCTCGCTACAACACGCTGATTGAGCGAGGGTCTCGGTGGGTACCTCCATGTAACGCCGTTGCCAGGCTCGGGCGAGGACTAAGACTGATTATAATGCACGCATGCGTACAATAAGTATGATGATGCAATAATGACACATATTATAGGTAAATGACAGTTCAATGTCCTGAGCTCGGTTACACAAGGACAACATTCCAACTTCTCGCAACAGTGCTTATGGTCAAGTGCACTTGTGATGCTCTTGAAGTTGTTTATCCTGGTCGGAGAAACTGAAACTTGTTAGATAGCTCTGTATAGGTTGCCGTTGCACTGTTGATAAAGTAACAACGCAGTCCACTAGTACCATAATTCCCATTACTTTTAAAGTAGTTGCCCAGTTTTTGCCTACACACATGCATGAGTGGCAGCAAGGAGTTAAATGCTGACAATGATAAGTATCTCACTTTTGTTGTCTGGATTCTGGGTCTTTGCTTTGTTTTTAGGTGAGTAGCTATGTGTATAAGCTCTTTTGCTATTCTGTCACTTAAATTGGAACAATTTCAGGAACAGCGAGCCAGTTCACTGGACCATCTAGTGGGCTATGTCTTGGAGATGACGTCACATTCACTTGTGTAGTTAGTACTACTGATGTCACCATCTGGAGAGTCATCAACTCTGGAGGAGTTGAAGCTCGCTGTACATACAGCCGGAATAACCCTAACACCCAAACCTGTGGACCATTAGGAAGGTTCAGATCGTCTGTGACTGATGTGAATGGAGACCCTAGCAACTCTTCTCTGAGTGTGGACTCAGTAGCTAGTTATCTCAGCGGAGTATCTGTGACGTGTTCTGATGGAAATGCTATAGTCATTGGGTCCAGGGACATCTGTGTTATACTAGGTATATTATGTGTCATAAAAAGAAAAGTGCTTCAAATCTGTGCTCAACTGTCACTGAACTCCAATTTATTAAACCTTAGGATCATTGCATCTGCTCACATAATATTACTCATGTTGGTTTTTCCCCTTAAAGATGTGTTTGAGTCCTCTGAATTCCAGTCTGCCACAGTCAATGGAGTTGGAGACATGTGTCAACTGAGTTTGGAGTGGAGTGAGGCTGTTGTCAGTTGCAGTGGAGGTGTGCCATACACTGTGACTGCCACTCCATGTCTGTCTGGATCTGGTGACTGTGAGGTCATCAGTGGTAGTCCAATGGAGACCTTCTCTACCACTGAGTCCCAGATTACACTCTCTGTGGATGGAAGTGTTGGTCTGGAGTATGACTTTACTGTCAGTACTTGTGCCAACACCAGTGATGTGTACACTGTGAACCTCACAGGTGGGGTTGATATTATGTATGTCCACGATAGAGGTTGATTGTATGTGTACAGTAGCAGTGGAGTTGAGTCTTCCTTCAACTATATCTACAATATAATGACCCTGGATGTAGACGCTGTTAATGTCACCTGGGGACGATATTATGTAAGCTTCCCAAGTACCACACGTTTCATTATGATAAGAATTTCATCAGGTTCTTGGTAGGGAGACTGCCTACAGAGCTGTAATTGATGAACAAGTCATTGAGATTGTGACATCACAAGACTGTAGTGGAGAGATGTGTGGCTACATCCATTACTCTGACTCTCTTAATTCTTCCTCTTCTGTGGCTGTGGATGTGGTGGGATGTGGCACTCAAAGAATAAGTTTGAAGAACACTTCGCAAGGTAAGCTGTTCCTTTGTTGCTTTTTACTGGACGTAAACTACTATTTTCTTCAGTTTGTTCTCCAGAAGACCTACTGTTCCATGGTGTTGACTGGATAGCAATGCCAGAGTTCACAGATGATGTAATGGGTGTCTATTCATTTCCTGGTGGAAATGTGACCTACAATGGAGTTTACGTGGGATCTACTGCCACGTACGGAACTTCAGAAGGCTATCTAATCAATGGAGTTAGAATGCTGGAGAGAAGATGCACAATTATAAACACGTGGACAGCTCCTGACCTGATAATCAGCAATGCAAGTGGGTTGAATGCCCCACACAACCCTTTGGGCGCCATTTACATATAATGTACACAGAGCCTCCATAAGTGCATAAGAATATATATATGGCTATAATACTAGGCGCTAATATGTTATACATCAATTTCTGCTTCTTTAAGGAGACACCTATGGCGCCCAAAGGGTTTTAATGTTTGGGGGAAATGCTATGTTTAATAATAATTATTATGTTGAACCGTCTTTCATTTAGAGCATGAGACTGTTTCTTTAAAATTAATGTTTCCTCTCCCCCTATGAAGAGATGAATCTATTCATGCATGTAGTGGTGTATTGCTTAGCTCTCTGTTTAGATAGCTAGATAATACTTCTAACAATAATACTTTTACAGTAGAGACAAGTCTATATATAACATATCAAAAAGTAGTTTACATAAAGTAGTATTTGAGTCATGTGTATGAAAGTAGTAAGGTGTCTTTCATAATAATATGTAATTATCTGCAAAGAGAAAGGGGTACCGTATCATGTCAAGACCCAGTATAATTATAGGGGAGTGATTCATCAATCAGGACTTTCCCCCTGATTGTGCATGTGCTCTGACGTCTTAGCAACTGCACTACTACAACCGTCATCATGCTTGCCATACGTATCGATCTTTATAATTATATAGATCAGTTCTGACACGTTCTTTGAGGTGTTACATACACAATTGCTTGATCTAGAATGCATTCTGTCACTCTATGGATTACATTCCATAAACTCACCCCTTACAACAGCAATCCCAACAACCTAAACAAACACAGAGTCCTCAGCGAATATTTATCATTGTGGTGGCCATAGGCCTGTAACCAACAAGCACATGTATCATACACTGTGCTACATTGTCTCAAGATCATTCATCTAAAGTGCACAGGCTGTAGCATACTATGCTGCCCATAACACTTTTGCTGGTTACAACATTATACTTAGTTGGGCACTTAGCCAAATTTGCAGCAACTTGGCACTCACCAGCTATCGAGTGCTAAGTGTCACGCTCAGATTTCCTCATTGAGAGGGATTTTGTTGTCTGCAGGAGGACCACAACCCTGATGACACTTGTTCAGGGAGTAGAGAGGAACATAAGTATGTTTAGCAAAAATGTCATATAGTATAATCTCAATCACACACTTGTTATTATTATTATTATAATTATGCGTTACAGTACATGATAATTGTAGCCCAAAAAAAAGAAAGTGGAGAGGATGGAGGCATTAGAGATGACATGTACTGAAGGTACACCAGATAGATGCTGATGTCCTTAGAAGATAGAATAACTAGTAGCTATGGACGAACACAAACACTTAGCACACGGACACGTAAAATAGACCATGTGATGCCAAGAGAAAAAAGATGTGGAGCTCTGGACAGCTGTTTCGGGCTTGTTGGCCCTCATCAGCAAAGCATACCGCAACTTCTCTCTCTGGCACCACGAGTTTATAAAGGCAAAGTTGAGCGCAGCACTTGTGGTTTTGAACTAATGAGATTCATCCCCACAAGGCTTTGCTCAGGCGCAGCGCTTGTGGTTCTGAACTCATCCCCACAAGGCGTTGCCAGTACGGAGCACATACATAGGATAGCTATAGGGATGGCTTGAAGCAGCAAAAAGGAAGAAACAAGGGGTCATTACAGAGCAAGGTGCACAAAGCTACATGACACCATCCCTATATCTTCATTTTATTGC